TAAAAAAAAGAGAGAGGGCCGGCCAAATAGCTCAGCAGTTTAAAGCACCTGCAAGCAGGATCAAGGGCCAGGCTTTCAATTCCTGGGTCTGGCATGCTGGCCCTGCCCCTGGGGTGTGCTGAGATGGTAATTGAGACTGGGTGTAGAGCTCTTGGGAGGCTGTAAACAGGTGGATCACTATGAGTCCAATCTAGTAGTGAGACGCTGACCACCCTGTAGACCCTTCCCTAAAATACGAGAGAGAGAGAGAGAGAGAGAGAGAGAGAGAGAGAGAGAGAGTTGTTTCCTCACAGATACACTTGCATACAACTGTAACACAATTTGATGGTAATTAAATGTCATTCAATAAGCAGTCAGTGATGAGAGAAAAAGCCACCAAGTATGAGCTCCAAATCAAATGGACATGGACATGAGATGGGCCCTGGGAACTCCCCTGAGAGAGACTCAAAGAGCACAAGATCATTTCCTGTGATTCCAAACCACTTCCACCCCAAGAAAAGAGAGCAGAGAGACCTGAGAGGGCGCAGATAGAGGTCACAAAAGCAAGTCCCTTTTGCAGAGAGAAAATTTTAAAATGACATGTGGAGCCCAGGGAAGATGAGAGGCCTTTGAAAGGGACTCCATGAAATGGGCCACCCTCGAGGGTTTCCTGCCCTGCAAGGTGCTGGGGCACAGAGAAGGAGTTGCCCCCTGTTCTGTACTCCTCAGAAGGTGCTGAACGTATCACGCGAAGCTGATCCAAGGGGTGTTTGCCTCTGAGGACACGGAGCACCCAGTCCAGGGGATTGTGGAGAGACACAGGAAGGCCTGGCAGCTGTGAAGGTGCTGGAGAGGAATAAAGTCAAGCGTACCTCCGAATCACAGAGTGCAGCTTTCTAAAGGCCCTTCAGCGCCACGATACCGTGAAAGTACTAGAGGTGCTGGCAACATGGGATAAAGCACTTCTGGTCTGGAGTAGGAAAGGGGAAAGAGATTTTTAGATGCATCGTGAAAACTAAAAGGAACACGCTGCTGGATGGAAGGCCCCGGGGATATTCTGAGAGCTGGTGGAGGCAGTGAAGTGCTGTCGTGACCTGGGCATTGGACACAGGTTCCCAAATGAGGAACCATCTTAGTGGATGTGGAAGGCCACAACAACAGCAAGCTACTTGAGTTTGGGTTGGGGATCAGGGTCCTTCCTGGCCAGGAGGTAACTGCACCTGCGGGCACATTAGACTATTATGCCCCTCAGTTATTCTTTGAAGGAAAAATTTGAAGGCCCACTGGTGGACAGTTACTCTCTTG